ACAGCATAATGTATAAACTTGTCAAATCACTATATTGTACCCAGAAAACTAGTGTAACATTGTGTGTCAACTATACTCAAATTTAAAAAAAAGATACTGATAGAATATAAAAAATAAAAAAATAAAGTGAACTATTTTAATACATTACTTAATAGAATTTAACTATTCTTGGGTTTATAACAAACAAGCAGATTTAAAACTAGTCTCTTATTTATATGGAAGAAAGTCAACTTGCCCAGAAAAAGAAGCAGTAAAAGTTAACTTGCATAGTAAAAAGGAAAAAAAATTAAATGACTCACTGAAATCACTTAAATTGTTATGTTCACTATAAACCCATTAATCAGGACTTAGAATCAGAAAATGGTATCCTGTGGTCAAAAATACAACCAATGAATTCAATACCAAATGAAAGAATTTCACTCTTAGATTCCAAAGATAACCATCTGTCAGATCAATTCAATTTCTTTTTATATTAAAAGCTGAAAGTTATAATCAAGGGGGGGGGCGGAAACAAGGATTTTACAGACTTGTCGGAAGCATAGTGCTGGAACTCATGTCCTACCAAATCTTCAGTCAATTTGTAATGATCACTGAAACAGCTGCTACTGCTAGTGAAGCTACTTGATTCTTTATATACACATATTAAACTAGTACACATTTCAAAGTGAAATATAGGATACTTCTCCCCAAAACAGTCATAATTTGGGGTTCAAGTATTCTTAGAAGCATTTAGCTGCCAGAAAAGATGTGGTTTTGATTCCCTTGTGATAAGGTGAATTTCCTTCATTATCTTCAAGGCCTGTATGAGAGATAGGATTGAATTCCTTCAAGGTCACCCAAAGTCCTGAGAGCCCTAGAGGATTATTTTGGCATTGTGACTCTCCTATTCTCTGAAACATTTGGCAATGTCTTAGAGTTTCATCAGAGAAAAAAATAAAACCCACAAAATTTATGGGAAAAAAAAAGTCATAACTGACTATATTTGCCAAGGCAATCACATTCATTAAAAAAGTATTCAATATGGAGACCTGTATCAGTTATAGAGTGAAACACTTGGCTTCTATTTTCAAATGTTCTATTTATAGCTCACTGGGTATTTATTTGTCTCAGTCAAAGCTGATATAGGTCTGATCCTCTAACTTCTGTATTACATATAAAATTAAATGAAAAAAAATTATATATATTAAATCTTACCATTCTAAACTCTTCTAAATAAAACTTGCTTTAACCAGCTAACACCTCGGTTTCTTTTATTCATACAATTTTTATTGACTTATTAAATGTTAATTAGACACTATTTAACAACATTGTACTTCATGACATTTTGCTGTAAGCCAACAAGAATTTATTGCCATCTTGTGGTCATTCATGTATGTGTGAAACTGAATGTCATTTTCCTGAAGAGAGACACTTACTTTAAAATCTTACCAAATTTTCCCATCACCTGAGAAAAATGATCATTTTATCACATACAATATCTCCCAAGGAGACAAAATTTACTAATAATTTTAAGACATTACAATTTTTTTTTAACCTAACTTAAATATATAGTCTTTGACCGTGAATGGTAACAGTAGAAGGGCATCAAGTCAGTCCTGCCATTATCTTAGAAACATTCATTTGTTCCTATCTATATACTGTTTTGATTAATTTTTAAATACTATAAGAAGAGTTTTATAGCCAAATTTCCATGGGATTCTAAAATACAATATTCACATTACTGTACCATGCTCAGGTTAAAAAGGTGGTCAGGAAGGCAAAGTTCTGAGAGGTGGGAGCAAGAGAGGAACAAAAAACAAAAGTAAAAATCTAAACCTCATATAGCATAATTTTAATAAATATCTTGAATATGTCCTTGTTTTGGGTCTTTCCTGTAATACTTAATGTATAGTTACATTTGCAATTATACTGGCATTCAGTAAATGAGATTAAAAAAAAACACAATCATAAAAGCAAAGAAAAATGTTCTACTGCTTAAAACATTCCTAATACTTCTTCCTGGATTGTGGAAATAAAGTTTTAAAACAGAAAATATCTTAATTTCTACTGCCAAATTTCAGAGTTTAGGTTATATTAAATTTAAGTGACTAAGAAGCAAGAAGGTAAATAAAGCAGAAAGCCAACAGTCTTTCAGAAACATAAAGGAACATCAAAATGCTATGATGCTGACTATAGAATTGAAGTTCAACCACACAACTGGTCATTTACATAATGTGCATTCAGTGTGAGAATCCTTTGTTTTTTTTTAAGTTGTGTTTATTGGTCAGCATCACCCACAACACTGAATAGCCTTTACAAAGAAGCACCTTTACAGCCACAGCCCCTGCCTTTTTCACATAATTTAAAATAGACAACTCTGACACAGATACAGACCTATAAACAGATAAAAAGGCAATCAACTGCATAAGAACCAAAAGATAAGATTAAAGGAAAAACACTACCTAAGAGTTTTTAAATTCATTAGAAATGGAGTTTATTGGTACAAAGAACAAATATACAGTCAAATATGATACGAGATTCTTTAAGAATGGACTAAGAAAAAACAGAAAACTTACAGACAAGAATGTGATGTAGACAAAAATAAAGAATTTTCATCATATACTTGTTCAATATCAGTGCAAGCATCAGACTATTATATTACAAGAAAATGAATCTTACCTTGCTGCTGTGAAAGTGAAATATCAGATTTACTTCTTACACGTATTAAACGACTTTGTGCAGGCTTGTGCTCAACTTGTTTCGCATCTTGGTCATGCTTTTGTTGGTACTAAAGAATTTAAGACGTGAAGTCATAACATTGTTTTTTAAGTTACTTTAAAAAGTTTTGAGCGGGGCGCCTGGGTGGCGCAGTCGGTTGAGCGTCCGACTTCAGCCAGGTCACGATCTCGCGGTCTGTGAGTTCGAGCCCTGCGTCAGGCTCTGGGCTGATGGCTCAGAGCCTGGAGCCTGTTTCCGATTCTGTGTCTCCCTCTCTCTCTGCCCCTCCCCCGTTCATACTCTGTCTCTCTCTGTCCCAAAAATAAATAAACATTGAAAAAAAAATTTTTTTAAAAATAAAAAGTTTTGAGCAATTTAACTATTTAGTTGTTTCTTATATAAAATTTGAATATTATACATGTCCTCTAATTGCTAAATGGGTGATAGAGTACATATTACTAGAGAAAAGACATTGGAAATAAAATCTTTCAAAAGATTTGGATAATATATACAGATTTCAAATATTCAAATCACTTCATAATTCAAAGCTCCTTATAAATCAAACTATTCTAGATATATACACATGATGGATTTAGACAGGATAAAAACTTAATGTGGTTGTTAAGCTCTCCCATATAACCATTTTTACATAAAATGAAAATCTGCATAATGCACTGCAATTTTCAAAGAGCTTTTCTATATAGTAACATCACTTAATTCTCACAAGCATGAGTACTGTTATCCTCCTTTGACATTCAAGAAATGTGCACTCCACCACAAGCCCCATCATCTCTCTTCCTAGTACCTATAACCTAACCAAATTTGAAATTTACAATAGTCACAAATTCCTTCACAACCACACATCACAAACTGTGAAAGCGATTTTATTTCTTCCTTTTACTATTTTATGGTCCTAATTATGAATGAGTGCCTGAAAACAGCTATCAGATATACTTTGACAGGACTTTAAAAAGATACCTCTTGATTCTTATCAGCCACGAGTTGACCCACAAGCTGAACCCAGGCAATTGGAAGCTCCTTACTCTGGTCCTGTCCTTGGAATATGCGTCCCACCTACTATTTCCATACTGGCAGTCATTAAAGGACTTCCCCTTGAGAGGGGAAGGTGTTATGACACCGTCTGGACTGAATACCTGACTGAACCCAATTAAGGCTTCTATATAAACTTTTAAGATTCTGGTGGCTGGGTGCAGAGATCTACCGGTCTCACAAGTGCCCGAGACAAGTCTGGTAAGTAAGTCCCCTTGCTTATTTAAACCTGCCATCTGCCAATCTGGAGTGGTATGTGTCTTTATTCGGTCTCTCCTTGCTCTCCATGAATAGGGGCCAGTTTTAAACTTCACCCAGGAAACTCCTGAGGTTGCAACCAGCAATACCAACCCCATGCAATGCTATGCAATATCATGAAATACATAGTGAATAAACTAATCTACAGTGAGAAATCCATTGCCATTACACAGATACAAAACTGTTTTTAATAACGTGAACATTTCTTTACATGCTGGAGAGTAATTAACTTATTTTTTCAGTACAGAAGATTACATGGGCCATTGGCCTAACTCACCATGAAATTGCTTATGTAACAGCTTTTGCAAAATTTAATATAATAAATTTTTCTTGAGTACCTGCTATATGCAAATTAATGAGCTAGATATTTCATGATGACACAAAGTGTCAATAATAGCTACCTAACCAGCATTATATATATGTATATGTGTATATGTATATGTATGTGTATATATATATATATATATATATATGCACACATACATACATATATATATATGCTATTTTTAATCTCTAAATAAAGATGAGGAAACTAAGGGTTAGAAAAAGGCTATGTACTCAAGGTCATAGCTAGGGTCCAGATGAGCTAAGAGTTGTATCCAGGCTTGAATTAACAAATAAAGGAAGCATGGATTGAAACTGACTCCAAAGACTAATCTCTTGGCAGTGCATCATGCTAAGCCAATATTATTACCATTCTCATTTTAAGTAAAGTACAAGGATTATTACCTGATGATTATCTTCAACTGCTCCTGATAACTGAACATCATTTTCTTGCACTGTCAAAAGTGTTGCGGGAAGAGCAAGGTTAGAATTTGGCTGCAACTCCAATTCTCCCAAACTCATTGGACCATGACTAGCACATGAATCTTCATAAACACCACCTGTTGTCAAATATATAAACAAAAAGTTAAAATAAATTGTTTAATTTGATTTCTGCTCAGGTCATGATCTCACAGTTCATGAGTGCAAGCCCCACATTGGGCTCTGTACTGACAGTGTAGAGCCTACCTGGGACTCTCTGTCTCCCTCTCTCTCTGCCCCTCCCCCCATCACACGTGCATGCACATACTCTGTCTCTCTCAAAAATAAATAAGTAAACAAAAAATAAATATAAATATGTACTAAATAATGAAAATCTCGCAAGAAAATCTAGGAGACTATAGGTATAAACTTGTGTTAGAAGAGACCATAAAAACCCAGAAAGTATAAAAGATAAAAATAACTAGGGACACTTGGGTGGCTCAATCAGTTGAGTGTCCGACTCCTGATTTCAGCTCAGGTCAAGGCCTCATGGCTGTGGAATCGAGCCCCACAATCAGGGTCTGCACTGAGCGTGAAGCCTGCTTGGGATTCTCTCTCTGCCTCTCTCTATGCCCCTCTCCTGCTCATGGTTTCTCTCTCTCTCAAAATAAATAAACATCTTAACATATACATATAGAAATAACTACATAAAAATTTTTTTAGCTATATGGCAAAGAAAGACCATAAATAATGTCAGTACAAATTCAGAAAAAGATATTTGCAATACAGATGTTAAAAAACATCAAAAATATAGAAATAGCTCTTAGAAAGTTATAAGAAAAATTTAGAACCTAATAGATGGGGAAAGAATTTAAGTAGGCAATTCACAGAGAACAAATCCAAATGGCCAACAAACATGAAAAGAAGCCCACAGGCAGCCAGAGACTTGTAATTTCCACAGGACTTACTGTGTAAAAACAAATGCAGGCAAGTGGGCATTCTATCTTAACTTGTAAAATAACAGTGTACACATACATAGTATGTATCCATCATGAATGTTAAACATGTGAGTGTGTCTATGGATAAAAAGAGGAAGATTACATATGAGAATCTTAACAAGAGTTAGCTGGGGTAAGGCATATGGGACAGGAGAAAACATGAGGATGAGAGGTGGATGGAAACTAATGTATGACATAATCACATTTTGTTTTATGTAAAATTATACATGGTTAATGTATGGGTATAAAGAAAAAGTAATTAATTAAAAAGACACAAGGTAAACTTTGATAAAAGACCTAAATGTAAAAACTCAGAAGGTATATAATCAAACATCTCTTCCAAAGCATTCAAAAAGTGCATAATAGCTTTCAACTCCTGTAACACCCTATCATTTAACATATATTCACTGGCTATGTCCTAGGTGTTACACACTCTGCTAGACAACAGGAATGGGACAGTGAACCCTCAAGTGAGATTACAGATCAGTGTGACAAAAGAAACTTTAGGCAGGCTACAGAGAGCACATACGACAGGTATCTAACCCAGTGATAAAGGGTCACCATGTTCATCATAACAATGCTGAATTTGCTCAACAACATGATGGTGTCACTTCTACAAAGTATGCTCATGGAGTATGAGTGTTTCGTCTGTATAAAGTAACTTAACCCCTTGTAACTATCATGTCACTCACATCAAATTTATCACAAGTTGGGGCACCCGGGTGGCTCAGTCTGTGAGTTTGAGCCCCGTGTCAGGCTCTGTGCTGACAGCTCAGAGCCTGGAGCCTGCTTTTTTGATTCTTATTTCTTCTCTCTGCCTCCCCGGCCATGCCCTGTCTCTCTCTCTCTCTCTCTCTCTGTCAAAAATAAACATTAAAATTTATCATAACTTGAAATCCCTAATTTTATTCTACTAGAATCTTACTGCTAAGCAAAGGCAACCTCAGACTTAGAAACTTCAACTTTCAGAGAAGACTAAGTCAACCCCAAATTGCCAGTGCCCAGCAGCAGCTTTGGGTTTGTCATGTCTAATAGGTTTTTCCATTTGTAGGGAATGGATGCCTAAAGGCATCTGAAATTAATTCTAATGCTTAAAACCCCACTCATCCTTATGTCCTCATAATTCTATCCTTTCTCCATATTCCTTTCTCTTAGTGAATGGAAATTCCCAGCTACCCAACCATTCTAGCCAGAAACCTGGAAATGTCTTAGATCCTTTCTTTTGCACTTCTCATATTCAAACTAAATCTTGTCCATTCCCCTCCTTAACTGTCTCTCAAATCTCCCTTTTTACATTTCCTCACTGTTAAGTAGTGTTTCACCAGCTTTACTGCAACAGCTGTCCAGTCAGCCTCCTTGCCTCCAGTCTTAATACTCTCCTCCATTCATCACACTGCACCTGAGATGATCTTGCTAAATAAAAGGCAAAGATGATCATATCAGTCATTTACTTATAATCCTTATGGATCTGTGAATATCAAAAAACATTCAGAAGTGATAGAAATTCAAGACTAAATTTTCCATGGGAATAAATATAAAGTAAGATTGGCATTTTGTGCACAAATGGATCCATATCATTTTAGAGTGAATCCAAAAACTACTTCATGTATTATCTAAGATTTTTTAGGATCTACTTTCTGCTCACTACTCCAATCTCACTGCTTCCTAAACTCTAGCTCATTAATAAAGTACTTATATTTCCTTAAGTCTTGCTATTTTCTTATTTTTATTTTTATTTTTTCCTCTTGTCTCATTGCATATTCTGCCTGGAAGTTCCCTCCTCATTTACTACATGGCAAACATCTATTCATCTTTGAGAATCCATTTCTTTTTTTTCAACGTTTTTTTATTTATTTTTGGGACAGAGAGAGACAGAGCATGAACAGGGGAGGGGCAGAGAGAGAGGGAGACACAGGCTCCAGGCTCTGAGCCATCAGCCCAGAGCCCGACGCGGGGCTCGAACTCACGGACCGCGAGATCGTGACCTGGCTGAAGTCGGACGCTCAACTGACTGCGCCACCCAGGCGCCCCGAGAATCCATTTCAAGTAAGCCTCCTCTGATGTTTGAAGTCTTTTTGTGATTGCCCTCTCCAGGTACAAGTGACCTATATCCCATCCTACATGAACTTCTTCAAGGTAACTATGATAATTTATTGCATGTTTGTGCCCTCTCATCTATTACTTCTACCAGAGGAAAAAAATCATTATGGACAGGGCCTTACTAGGTTTTATATTCCTAGCTTGTAGAATGTGCATAGAGCATAGCAAGCACTCAAAACCTATTTTCTGAATGAATAAGTAAATGAACAAACTGGAATATGCTTATTATACTCCACCATTAAGATCTGATTTCATATCAGGTCTTGTGGGAAAATGTCTCTGAGGCCTCTCCTGTGGGTAGAGTCCTCCCCTGCACTCCACAGCTGTTTGTGTTGTTGTACTAACCACACAGTATTACTGTATAACCTTTCTTGTATTTCTCTCACACTAGTTTGCAAACTTCCTTGAGAGCAGATATCCATCATTTCTGTATCTCAAGTGTCTAACACTGTACCAAGTGTCTACCATTGTACATAATATAGTGCCAGATACATAGTAGGTATTCAATACAAGCTTTCTGAGTAAATGAGAGCTACAATTAGTAGTGTATCTCAGAGTCCTCACAAGTTGTTTAAAAATATCAGTTTACATTTTAGGGGTTGTTTTTTTTAAATTTTTTTAACGTTTATTTCTGAGAGACAGAGAGAGACACAGCATGAACAGGGTAAGGGCAGAGAGAACGGGAGACACAGAATCCAAAGCAGGCTCCAGGCCCTGAGCTGTCAGCACAGAGCCCTTCGTGGGAATCGAACCCACAAACCGTGAGATCATGACCCGAGCTGAAGTTGGATGCTTAACTGACTGAGCCACCCAGGTGCCCCTAGGCGCTTTAAGACACTTCGTCAAAGCT